TTACATTTTCCCTTTTTTTTTAAAAAATTTTCTGGGGTATTTTGCAGTACTGGAAGCATCAAGAATCAAATCTTTGGAAAATTTGCTGTCAAATAATAGAGTCATGGCATGATCTTTAGCGAGAAAATTTCGGATATGCCGATGCTCTGCTAAATGGTAAAGCTATTCGGAAATAATTTTAGAGTTATCATTCTACAGCAATTTTAAAATAAATTTATCAAAATACGATATTTTTTAACTTAATTAATAAACTACAACACTTTGAAAATCGGAGTTGTTGATTTCGTTTTTAAGAGTGAATTCATTGAGCTTATTAACCTCTTTTTACATCTGACTGAAACAATGAATAACCTTTTTTTAACCAACCATTAAAAGCAAAGTCAATAACCCCGCTTGTTAAAAAGTGTCGTAATTTGTTAAATACGTTCAAGAATATTATATTTTAATAAATTTATTTTAAAATTGCCGTAAAATGATAAATAACTCAACAATTTTAAGGGTGAACCCCTCAGTGATGGGCTTGATCTCAATTTTTCCACACAACTATTGAATTTTTCATATTTCTTCGTGAACTACTTGAATTAGATTCATATGACAGCACAACCAAACTATGTGACATGCTTTGAACGAAAAACGTCCCAAATGTTTTAAACACTACTAATCAGGTTCACTTAAATGCCTCGTAACAAAATCAATAGCCAAAGAAGCTTAAACAAATTAGTAATGCTATTTTGATTTAATTTATTAACCTAATTATTTATATCCACTTAATTGATAGTGAGTTCCAGTATTTATTGAGACATACAATCAATCTACTGGCTATAATCGATTAGATCAGCAAATTAGGTTCAATAAACAAATACTTCACCATATTTAACAGGCTACACTACTCCGGCTTTAACACTAAAATGGCCCAAACACGGATGAAAGTTGGGCCGTTGGAAAATTTTGGGCTTGAAAGATGGAACATATGATATGAAATGGGCTATTGAAGCCATCTACAGCCCAATCGTGAATCCTCGGAACCCATCCAGAGTTGTAAAACTAAAACCCAATACATTGACCAAATAGGCCATTTGGGTCCCTCTAGTTGCTTTTCAAATCCAAGTTGCAAAACTAAAACCCAATACATTGGCCAAATGGGCCATTTGGGTCCTACTAGTAGCTTTTCAAATCTAATAAACACAACACCACTGGGATGAATGGCCGTATTTTTACCCATCGCAGAACATATCATACATTTTAAATACAGAGAAATAATAAAAGAACAAGAAGACAAAAAAAATAACGTGATTCATGCTCTAATTCCACATATCACACGTTGAAAAAAAAATAGATAATTGATTATTGGGGTGGTTGTTTATATTGGGCATTATATGCGTAGGAGTTTTGCATCGAATAAAAAATAAGTTAAAATATCCTAATATGCAATCGATGAAATCACCACTTATAGGATTAAGCTTTTAGGTGGGTGAGTTCCATACATTATACATAGGTCTTGCATCAATGGGTTTCCAGTCACAAGTGGTAATGCGATAACTCATAAAAACTTGATTCTTGGAAGAGTAAGTTCTCTTGTAAAGAGTTGTTGGGGCGCATTGCTTGTTGAGAGTGATGGAGCAGATTCAAGAGGGAGTCAAGCACGACGTGCTTCACACATGAAAGAAAGAGAGTATTGGGTATTGCATGTAAGGGAGTCGCACACTAAATAGAAAAATAAGTTACCATATTTTAATATAAAATGAATGAACTCACCAATTGTACACTTAAACTTTTAGACGGACATGAATTCCAAACATTTTATATTTGATCTTAGATTATTGGGCTTCCCAATCTCCCAACAATTTCAAATACATAACCCAATTTAAATAGGTTGAAAAAAAATCTCACAATTTAAGAGTTGGGATAAATGCACACCCACTCAATTTTAGGGATTAAAATACATTAAGAATTTAGAAATTAATTGAATCAATCACTAGATCTCTAGTATTTGAAACTTTATTATTATTATTATAATTTGTGTCTTACTCTTTCTTCATCTGGTCATTGCACATAGGCGGATTTATTATGGAGGCAATGGGGCAGCTGCCCCCACTAGATTTTAAAAAAAAATTGGGACCTAGGTGAATTTTTGAAAATTTCAAAAAAATTTGAATCTTGCCCCCACTAAAATTTTCATAAAATATGCATGAGGTTTGTATAATTTTCAAAACATTAAACATAACTTTCATAGTCCACCTATTTCACGCTCTTTATTCGTCTGAATGTTTTCTTTATTTGAACTTCGGTCTCTGCGGCTATGTCTTTCTTCTCCCACCCTCACCTCTTTTCTTCTTTTGATTTCTTGAAAGTTTTGGTATATTCATCAACAAATCGGTTTACTTGATTGGTGATATTGGGGTATATAACAACAATTATCTCACCAAAATCTTAAGAACAAAACTAAAGAAAAATAAAATAATAGCTGATTTTTACTATAGTGTATCACTTTAATTTCAACACAAAATAAAGTATAAACAGCACAAAATCTACTGTAGTGAATCACACAAATTCCACTTTAAAAATTTGTCTACTTTAATTAAAAATTCAGTACAACAAAACACAAACACAAGGAACTAGATTTGAATTTCAGCAGCAAACACTCAAGTATTATGGATTTATAAATTATATTATTGTGGATTTATGCATTATATTTTAATTATGTGTAGTACATTATGTCATTCATTACAAACTTAACAACAAACAATTAAATTTGAATTTAATTAAACAATTTTTTTTTTAATAAATTATGCATAAATTTCTTGTAAAAAAATCAACACTGGAACAACCGACTTTTCGTCAAAAAATAGTTGATCTTTTCATGATAAGTCTTTTTATCACTTTTTTTGTACATCGCTTATATTACGAGTTGCGTACATTTTTTTTTATGGAATTATACATAAAAATTTGTTTATTAAAAATATATATTTTGATAAAAAATAATATTACATTTATAGTTTAAATTTAATAATTTTAAATTACGCCCCACTAAATCAAAATTTTGGCTCCACCCCTGTTTGCACATATGGTCTTACGGCTCTTCCAGCCAAAAACTTTTCTCTATGTCATGAACAATATTGTAACCAATTTACCAACGTTATTTGTAGGGGTGTAACTTAGTTTGGGCAATCCGATTTCAACTCGTGCCCGACTAAAAAAAATTAGGGTTTAGTCAAGAGTCTTTAATAGTGAAAATTGGAAATGAGACTCCATAGATGTACTTGTTTGGAGATAAGTTCTGTAAAAAAATTTATATGGGACTAAATCCATGTTTAAAATTATATGTAATAACTTAAGTCAATTTTTTTTTTATCTCAAAAATATCCTTCTATATATATATAGTAACATTAAAAATAAAAAATAGTAGCATTCAAATACAAAAAAAAAAAAAAAATTACTATAAATTGAATTTTACTATTCAAATTCATGTTACTATTTTTTTTTATTATGTTACTGTTCATGTTATTGCTTTTGTTGAGTATGTTACTGTTCATGTTACTATTATTTTTAGCATATTATTTTTTTTTTAAGCATATTACTACTATTATTTTCCTAAATATTAATATTCTATGTTACTTTTTTTTTAATATTACTATTTTTTGTATTTGAATGATACTATTTTTTGTGTTTGAATTTGAGAGAAATAATTATTGTTAAATATGTTACAGTTTTTGCTAAGCATGTTACTATTTTTGTTGAACATGTTAATATTTTTGTTGAACATATTACTGTTGTTATTTTTAAAAAATATTAATATTGAATTTTCCAATTATTTTATGTTTAAATGTTATTTTTTTATGTGTGTTTAAATATATTATTTTTCGTGTCCAAATAATACCTTTTTTATTTTGCATTTGAATGTTACTATATATATATATATATATAAGAGAAATTTTTTTAATATTAGTCAAACTCTTAGCCTATATATGAATATAGATAGATATGAGGGAGAAAAGATTTTAACGTTAGTCAAACTCTTAAGATTTAGAAGTTTTTAATTTTTAGTTTTATTTCACTTCTAAAGGGAATGAATTGTATGGTAAAATTGACAAAAAATGAATTTCATGACAAATAAGTTTTCTTGACGGACTTAAGTCCAAATAAGTCCATATAGAAAGACCGGCCTCCAAATTTCTCTTTTTAATACTTGGGTCAAAAAATCTCAACTCGAATTCAATTTGGATTGGGCTCAGGTTAAGGCCTCGTGAATCCAAGTTCAACCTGAACCAGACAAATTAAAAAAAAAGTATATATATATATATAAAAATTATTAGCACTGATTTTTTATTTTTGTTCAATTGTTTTCTGTCTCTCTCGTTCTCTTTGCCTCTCTCGTTCTCTCGTTAGAAACTTGGTTAAAGTTATTAATTGTTAATTTATGTGAATATTATGTAATATATGTATTAGGTTTAGAACAACAAGTCTATTTTGAGTTCTACCTGAATTGAACCCGAATTAAACCCGTAAGTAAGTAACCCGAAATCATCAACCTGAATTCAGCCCGAGCTCGTCCGAATTAAACTCGAGCAGTACTCGAGTTGAGTTCCCCAACTCGAGGTAGGGTTAGAGTTAAAGTTAGAGTTAGGGTTAAAGATTATATACCTAAGGTTGATTGTCCAACCCACCCGAATTACACCCTTAATTATTTGTTCCACAAACGACNTAGGGTTAAAGATTATATACCTAAGGTTGATTGTCCAACCCACCCGAATTACACCCTTAATTATTTGTTCCACAAACGACCACCTTAAAATTATATATACAAGAAAACGTTACATTCTAATATTTCTAATATATTAAGAATATAATATAAAAAAATTTAATTTTGAAAGTATAAAATAAAATTCTTTAAAAAGAAACAAAATTTAATTTAATCTATAAAATTATATTAGTGACAGATAAAAATAGCCGCCACCCAGTTGAAATTCAATTCAAGGTTTAGGTAAGTCGGTAAGATGCCATTCTTGGCCAATCACTCCTATCACTCACCGCTATATTTCTCAACCCACCAATGGCTGAGGTGTGTATCACCTTCTCTTCTCTTCTTGCGTTGCCCTCACAATCATCTTTTCAAGGTCCATACGCATCATCTTATGCACAGTCGTTGGTTCGTTTTGTCTTGAACTAAACGACGAAATGTTAGTAGAATCGGCCGTTTTTAACAAACCCACAAATATTCTCACATCATTTCCCGAACTGAAACCTCGGAAACCCATCAAATTTTCCCCCGCGAAGTTGGTTTTCTCTGGAAATTTTGTTTCTAGGAAATCTGTTTCCTTTGATATTAGAGCTTGGAGTTCGAACACTATGAGCGAGTCGGGTGAACCGCATGTCTTGAGAAACCATACTGGCGATGACGAGAGTGTTAGTGCTTTCGAACAAGAAGCTTTCATTGATGGGTCGTCCGATTTTCGCCCAAATTTTATTGGTGATAGACTCCAATCCATTCTCAATAGTCTGGTTCGTATTGTTTTTTGCTGGCTACTGTTATTTTTTAATATAGTACCGAAAATTTTCTTGTGTACGCTGTCCTTATGCCTGTATATCAGACGTCACTATATCTTGAAATGCTTCCTAGAGGGCCCTTGTACTTGGATGTTGTCTTAAAATGTGGGGTTTTTAGATTCTTACAATGTCGATAGTCGGGTTTAACATAATCCTTTACATTTTAACTGGTAAATGTAATAGTCTGTTTGACAATATTGTGTTGGATGTCAATGAAATTGTTTGATTAGCTTCATATGACATGTTTCTTAACATTTGAGGTTTGAAAAACAAGATTGAAGGTGCTTTTAACATTTTCTCTCAACTGGGATGACATTTTAGTCTGGGAACATAAAATGATGATTTTGTCTAAATTGATGCTGACAATGCTTCAATTATGATATATGGACCTGGAATGCTGTGATTGAATTTGATTCAGCACCCCAACTCTGTTGGTTAAGGATTTTGCACCTTAAATTTGAACTTTAGCCAGACATGTAGTTGGATTGGTCTGCAAATTAGAAAGAATTACTTGAAGAATCTTTGGAAGACAAAGGTTTCAAGTAGCAGTAGGGGTTATCCATATGTGTCGCCGAATTCTCACAACTTTTGATATTCTTCCTCATTAGCTTGGTCGATAGTCATTCATATCCAAGTCCAGTTGTTTTAAATCTGCCATTCAGTCTTGTAGAAGATTGGAATTACATTGGTTCTGTCCCATATGTGGCTCCCTCCCAAATACTAACGTTTGTCATATGTGACCACCAGTAAAACTTTCAAATGTTTTTGAGTCGAATTTGTATATTTGCTTTGTGCTAATTAGTTTGATCAAACACATGTGTGCCTATTTTTTTAAATCTATTGTACTGTTGTTAGAAATGTGCACTTGGATTCTATCTCAATATTGGGATAGGTATTTCCTTTCTTAAAAGTTTATTTACTGCCATCAACTGTAGAGTAAATGGCTGGTGGTTTCACTTTTTGGAATAGTCCTCCTCTGGAAGCATGATGCAGAAGCATTGTGGGCTGCTATGGGTTCTATTTTGAATGCTGGGCTCTCGAATGTATTGAAGCAGATACTAAACCAAGAGCGACCTGTTTCTACAATGAGATCAGACCCAGGAATGCCATCTTCGCATGCACAATCCATCTTCTATTTTGTCACCTTCGCTATTCTGTCAAGTAACTGTCTCCCACCACTGTATATTGAGCTCATTAATTGATATCCAATTTGTTTATCTTCTATAGTTCTCTGACTACAATCCTGTTCTAATGGCACTCACTTTTTCCCAGAATTAATGATGTCCACTTTTCCAAATAATTTATTTTATTTCCCATCTAGACAGTTGTCTTGGGAAATGAAATATGATAGTGCAATTGTTAACTAATGAATTCTAGTGTTTTAATTCTGACGGTTTCTTTATGTAAATTTTATTTTTGTTTTGGGGGCCGGGGACCACAGTTTAGCTTGCAATTGCATATTGCCATCCATCATCTGAACAACAGGAATCAGACTTGTTAGAGTTAAGATGCTGAGAGGTTTTTCTTAAGTTCCACGCTCTTGCAAATCCATTAATCATGCAGCAAAGCAGTAAAGTACTTCTAAACTAGATTGTTAGTGGCATTATATGCCCAAGAACTGTGATATGAGGGACAAGCCGGGTTAGTTTTTATGGACTAGTGGCAAACTTAAATGTCCTATGTGATGAAATTATTTCACTTGTAAGTGATATAGCATTTGAATAAAGTCCAGTCTGTCACAGTGACATCTGAAATTGTTTCCTTGCTGCATATGAATAGTTGCATTTTCTTGATTTCATAATAGCATGCATGGTGATGTTGTGATTAGTACTTATTTCTTAAAAATTTGTAACAAGTAAATTCTTGAAGATTGTGCATTTAGGAATTGACATAAATATGAACGCCAATCACGCTGTTTATCCTTATTTATTTGGAAAGGCAGAGAGGGAGGGATTTAATTTCTGCTTCTTGTAGACAATTCTTCTTTTGTAATATCTGCATTATTTTTGTTATTAAATATGAATGCTGTGGATATGAAACCTCTTATTTTTGATTTATAATGGCCCTTTCTGTTGCTGCTGTCACAGTAATGGAATGGCTTGGTATGAATGTACTTTCAACTACTCTCAGTGGGTTTGTCTTGGTGCTTGGTTCATATTTTGTAAGTATACAGCATGACTCTTTCAAGAAAATTGAATCCACCATGATATTCTTGTAGCATCATAATTCTTTTTAGTGGTGATATTGTGGAAAATTATTTATTTATTTTGGCTATTCAAAGCACTGTTAAACCACCAAGAAATAGTTGAGCTATTGAGTTAGAATGAAACACCTCTGTGACCAATTTAGGTTCACTTGAAAATTTTGTTTTGAAAAAGATTAGAGGCAACTCTTATGCTTCCTGAACATATAAGCCATGCGACTTTTTTATTTGTCCATTCAAGTGTGACCTATTCATCCATTAAAGGCTATCATTACCTAGTGCTGTCACTTGCACAGGTTGCTGGGAAGGGTAAATTGGAGACACTCTAACTTAGATAAATTTGGAAAAAGTGGTTGCTCTCTTATTCGAATCAGCATCCTCACATTACCTTTTTTTTGTCTTTGTCAAAATTTTGAGATAGTCATTGTTGAACATAACCTAATTGTGAATATTTCATGAACTTTGTAAAGTGATATCTCAATCATTCCTGCAATCACCTGATCAGAAGTCCCTAATGACGAACATGTACCTGTGTAGGTTCTATTATCATGGCACGACAAGAATCTTTATCTCAACGTGTAGCAGAACTTAACAAGCCTACTGCAAAGTTGTGCAAAACTAAATCTAAATTTTACCACCCTTATTCAGAGTGATTGTATGTTATTAAGAGCTAATATAATTTGTTGCAAATAAGCGACTCCTAATCAGTTTTTGAGACAGTTAGGAAATCAATAGGGCCATCACCTTCTCTCTCATTTTAAGGTCCTTTATTAATTACAATCACAAGCTTTGATATATTTTGCTATTTGATTCTTGTGATGTATCAAAAGGGGTGTATCTAATTTTATCACTTCCAAGGAAGTAGAAAGGACAATATTTTCCAGCATATAGTGTTCCTTAATAATTTATGATAAAGTGATATGTGTGTGCTCGTAAGATGTGCTTCCCTGCAAATAATGATTTCAATTGGTTGATGTCCATTGTCCACTAGAGAAGACTTGTTAATAGGATTATGGGCTGTGTAACTTTGCAGCTTAGTAAAATGCCTTAAAACTGACGTAATAGATTTTAGCATGAAAAAACATACACAATGGAATGCCCACTGACTTCTGTGTGCCTGTGTTTGCAGTCATGGCTACGGATTTATCAACAACTTCACACAATCAGCCAAGTGATCGTGGGTGCTGTGTTGGGATCTGTTTTCGCATTTTTGTGGTTTTGGTCATGGGATGCAATAGTTCTGAAGGCATTTATCTCCTATTTGTGGGTTCGGATTGTCATCATTCTTGGGGCTGTTGCATTTTGTCTGGGGTTTCTTGCACATGTCATTCGGTATTGGATTAGGGATGAACAATGAACTTGGTAAATTTTTTGTTATACTATCTACAGGTTCCTAGTTTATCTGGAAAATCAGAAACAGATGAAATTACTATGAAGTTGACATATAAACTTTTCATCTTTTTCCTGTTCACAATTCATCTGCCAGATTATATTCTGAACTGAAAAACTCTCCGAGGGTGTGCAGCCTCCCATGGTGGTCATATTACAATTTACAGTCTCGTTATGGTTCAGGAGAGGGGTCACTGCCATTCTTGCTCTGGTTTTCCTTTCCATATGTTCATTAATATTATTAGTTTGCAGTAAAAAAGTGGAGCATAGACATATTCAGGTGTTCATTCCAGGCTGGTGATAACGGCGAAGCTGATAAGGAACCATCTAAACTGGGGCAAGCAGACCATACCATACCATCTCTGAACTGATCTTCAAGTGATAGTTTTTGAAGAAGTTATTAACAATCATATTATGGGAGAGCTAAAAGAACAGAGCTTACCCACAAAAAAAACCACAGTAAAACGTTCTATGTGAACTCCAGGATGCGTCCATCTTTGTCGTCCGTCATTCGTACTGTCTTACCACTTTTAACTATATTTTACACGGCCTGAAATTCTCAATATTACAATTTTTCTCAATTTTACTCAATAGTACATTAACTGCCATTACTAAAAGTGAGACCCACTATTCGTAAATGAGCCCCTTCTCTCATGTACGGTGGGTGATCTTGAAAATGTAAGAGGGTGAACAATCTTGAAAGTGTAATAGAGGATATGAATCCAATTACACAATCATTACTTTATTACAATCAAATCAATGAGTCTGGCAATATTTCAATGATAATCAAGGTGACATGACGTAAGAA